GCTGGGCCTTTCACATTGCCATTAATTTCCACATGAAGGTCACCTCTTTCAGAAACACTGAAAGAAAATTCCAGTAAAGGCTTGCTAAAGGACATGGTAAAGGCTTAATAGTTCAGTGGATCATCCTGTATCTGCAGGGTTTTCTGTTGATACCCTGCCTCACTCAATTATAAAAGTTTTGCATGATACAACCACAAATGAAAGAAATCCATTGTTGAGAGAAAGGAGAAAGAAGTCTTGTTTGGAGGGACACACACACCACAGCATGCCGAAGAACATGCTCTGCTTAGCCTGGAGGGTTTCTTTGGTGCAATTTCCACTTTAAAACAAACAACTGAAATAAATCAAGTACGCTATGAGGTTTAAATGCAAACTTTTGGTACCTTTGAGGTGTAAAATGTTCTTCCATTGGAACTACTATTAGAATTTTTACTATATCTGATTTATATGATTGAACTTTATGGAAAATTGGAATAAAAAGCAAAAAATGTGCAGCCTCACCTAACAACTTCCTAAAAAAGCTGGAAGAAGCCTTAGATTCTGTAGCTGCAAGAAATTAGGGCTGGATCAGTTCAAACACATTTGTTCCACATAGGTTTGATAAGGCAATGTGCCAGATGGAGCTGGCATTTTAGCACAATTTAGCCACATATGCCAAAAGTGCGCCAAAACTGTTTTTCACCACATTAAAAGGGAATCTGATCAAACAAAAGTACTGATTTCCATTGTAGGAGCCCTTCAGCATATGAAATAGCCTTTGGTCATAACATTTATCACGTGTTTCATCAAAACGTACCAATGGCAAGGCATAAAGTCAAAATAAAACAATAAGTCATTTTTTAAACTCTTAATAAAGGAATTCAATGGAGGAAAAAAAAAGTATACTTCACTAAAACATGTCATTTAACAGTAAAAAAACAAAAACAAAAAACTAATTGGTAGATTCAAGCAGGTCTGGTGTCATTCTCAAACAATCAGGTAGCGTCTTTGTTCTGGAAATAGGGCAGGGTTGTTTTTTTTTCTAGCTCTACAAAACAGCATATAGAAACAGAAAAATATATATATATTTAATTAAATACCCTACATTTAATGTAAAGCTGATAGAGAAAATGTTTTCTTATAATAAATGACAGAATGTCAAGAAAATTAGAAGTGCATAGAAACGATCTACAGCATTAATCTACGGTGCAGCTGTTTTGTGATTCGTAAAGCGGCAAACCAGACTGAAAGTTTTATAAGCTCTAATGGGGATGGAGGTTTTATGAAGTTTTTTTTTTTGTGTATTTATATAAATGTGTTCATTTTGCTCTAAAACCATAAGCATTTGAGGAAAACTCATTTGGCAACTCAGAAACATTAAAGCAAAAGGTTGTGAGGCATTTAGAAACAGTTTGACCTATATTTGATATAAAACCTACTAAATGACTTCAAACTGGCTTCGTTCATTTCCCTTCTCACCAGTCAAATATATAAAAAGCTTAATTCTGTGTTCTTGGTTGCAGTTTCTAATAAATAAAAGCTCATAGTCCTGTTTACCACGGAGGACCCGTTTTCCCCTTGATCTTTAAAAAACCTAACGAGGTGGAAATAATGAATAAAATCAAAACTAGACCATAAAAATCTTATCTTAGCAACAAGCTTAGCTGTAAATGATAGGATATGTTGCAATCAACCTGTGAACCTGCAGTTGCAGGTAGTGAACCTCCACACCTCTGGGCTGTTCTTAGAAAGCAAACTGGGCTTGTTGATGCAAGTTCTGGTATTCTAAGAAATGCAGTTATTTTGTTCTAACATCAGTTGCTCTTCTAAGAAAAACACTAAAATATACAGTTAAATATTTAAAAGTAATAATAAATTTAAAAAAACAGATCAGGTTTTTCTCCCTCTCATTAAATCTGACTAAACCTTCCAGTTTGAGGTACTTCAGCTGAACAAACTTCTTCTTTTTGTAAGTCCCAGAATAATTAGAGGATTTTTTTTCCTTCTTATTTTCTTTAAAGGAGGTTTATGAAGTCCAGTTGATGAAGCTTCTGGTTATCTGAGTAAAATAAAGTCACTTTATTTTAAAATTCACTCCATACTAATAAACACTTCCACATAAGAAGGCAGAGTGCTTCCTTTAGTGATAAGAAGGGAAAAAATCTAAAGGAATCAGTGAGGATATCTTTTAAAAAGTAACTATGAGACAACGTGCTTGATAGAAGGAAACATGCCCTGTTACCATGGTGACATTTGGAGGAGCACAGGGCACACTTCCAAACCTTGTTTAAGTCAAAATGAAATGGCATTTCCGAATTCTCCCGAGTGGTGCACGACTTTACACGAGTGAATAAAGTGAACGTGATTGGTCATTTATCAAGGGCGTGGGATTGTTGTGGCAGAAGGTTTCCAAGAAATTTGGTTGTGGCCGGTTTGTCTGAAGCATCTTGCTAACCAGTTAGCAACTTAGTGCTAGTAGGTTCCCAATGGGAAAATACATTGGGACCAAGTAGCATTTAGCAACGACTCTGTCAAGGACAGCGGAAACATGCGAGTGGAGGAAAGTTTTATGTTGGTGGTCGTGGATGAGTCTCCTCCGTGATATATTTTTTATTAAGAGGAGGAAAGTGGGGACGAAGTTGTTGTGGAAGAGGATGCCAGGGCGGCAGAAGCTTGGTTTGGTGTAGAAGGCTTAAAGCCGTACATTTTTGAAACCTTGCCTCGCAAGGCTGCCAGTTCTGTTAGCTCTACGCCTGCCGAAGACTCAGCTTCCATCCCCGTGAACACTGGGACGTAACTCAATGGCAAAGTAAATTATTCTTATTTTTTATTTCAGCTGTTGCGTATATTAGCTGCAACATATGAATCAAGATGCTAAGACCGAAAAAATTAGATTGATGACCAATGATATATGATTGGCCGAATTTAGGTGTCCAAGCTGACGTATAACTAACTGGCCTGCATAAGATAATGAAAAAAAGAACACAGATTTTAGGACATGATTTTTTTTTTTAAATGGACATTTTCTAACTTTTGAGACAATATAGTCTATTTAAGAGTACAATGATCTGACATTTAAATATGACTACCCTACGACTTTAACCCATCCTAACTAGGGTTAGGCATCGACAATCAATCGGAACAGGGTCTAACCTTATAATTCTTGCAGAATCGTTACATCTTTTTATTTTTGATTCCTATTTTCGATGACCAGAAATAGAAGCTGCCCAATATCAGTGAAGAAGAACCCACAGCATTGTGTGCGGAATCATCCATTTGTGATTCAACATTCCAAAGTGTGGCTTAATGTTAAATAAGGAAATGACCGCTCGATTACCGGCCACACTTGTGATGGGGTTATTAACACAAAGGCTGCACCGGTGGTGTATGGTAGGCTCCCTGAGGGAATCTGTTCCCCCTCATAAATCCCAGCACAGCTTCTGCAGGGAGAGCACAGTTTTTTTTATTATTTCTTCCTCTTACTTTACGTCTTTACAGATACCCACCTAGTTTTCCAAGCGCTCTGGATAGCAATACTAATAAACACTTCCACATAAGAAGGCAGAGTGCTTCCTTTAGTGATAAGAAGGGAAAAAATCTAAAGGAATCAGTGAGGATATCTTTTAAAAAGTAACTATGAGACAACGTGCTTGATAGAAGGAAACATGCCCTGTTACCATGGTGACATTTGGAGGAGCACAGGGCACACTTCCAAACCTTGTTTAAGTCAAAATGAAATGGCATTTCCAAATTCTCCCGAGTGGTGCACGACTTTAAACGAGTAAACAAAGTGAATGTGATTGGTCATTTATCAAGGGGTGGGATTGTTGTGAGAGCACAGTCTTTTTTTATTATTTCTTCCTCTTACTTTACGTCTTTACAGATACCCACCTAGTTTTCCAAGCGCTCTGGATAGCAATGTCCTTTAACGTAGAGCTGCTGAACTTATGAATAATTTTAAGCGCAACTTCCTCCGTTGTTTATTTTGGCTCATTTTGAATCGGTTTTATATGATAAAATGACCTAACGGAACAACTGAGTACAGAATCTGATCACTCCTCTGTCCACAAAAGTAAAATATCCCTACTTCTACGGCTAGTGAAGTGGGACTGAGACGCAGTAAGTGACGCTGAGGATAGAAACTGTCAAGATAGCTTCTTGCTGCGCTGCTTTCACCTCCAGCTCAGACACTCAGCCTAGCACTGCATCAGAAAGCATTGACTGAATCAGGTAAATAAAATAATATTAATTGACTGATACAACATAAGAATCTGGAGCATCAGACACTGGATATATGTAAATGGATTTTAAAGAGGTTTTAAGCAATAAAGCTCCATAAGGAAATTTAACTCTGTGAAAAGAAAATTCATAAGATTATTATTTAGTTCATAGATTTCATATTTATATATAACTGTGATAACTAATAGTAAAGTTTTGACAAAATTAGATGTTCAAGGAATTTCATTTTCATTGAGAACTGTTTCATCAAGTCAGAGCAATGGTTAGCGAGCTAATTTATAACAAGTAAACTTTTATGATTCTTTTGATAAAAAGAATCGAGAAACCATTCGAACAGGAATCAAACATAGAATTGTTCAAATTCAAACAGTGCCAAACCCTAATCCTATCTGAAGAGGTGGCAGAAAGAGTCTGAGCGTCTAGCTGCACGAGGGACTGGTGCACTTTACAAAGCAAGATGGCATCATTAAAAAAAGAACATCAGTCTGGGAATTAATGGTTGGGTCCTCGACATAGGGCTGTAGGAGGCCTTATCCAGGAGACCCAACATTTTTGTCAAGAGAAATCAGACGAGTGTCTGTCTTGTTATCCAAGCTTTTCAAATTAAAAAATAAGAAATCAAAACTCATAAAACAGGAGAGGTTTAGTCTCATTTGATGTCAGACAGGGACCTGGCTCTCCATATGAGCAGCTGTTTCTGTGCCTAACAAAAGCAGAAATGTATGCATGCAACTTGAACAGCCTATGAAGGGCATATTTATTAAAAAACAACAGTAACTCACTCTTTTTAGCAGCAGCCATGACAGTCGAATTGGGCCAGCAGAGAGACTCTTGGATGTCCACCGTTACAGCTTTGTCATTTCAGCAGTCTGACCGCAGAACAACCCTGAAAAATCAGTTTAAAAAGCAATGAGAGAAAGAAGCTTCAGGCAACACAAACAGAGGAGTGTCTATAAGCTGGAAACAAGCTGAAAAATTATTAGATAAACAGGTATGGCCTGAAAGGGAAGGCCAAAGGTAATGGTTGCACAAAGGGAAATAAAAGAAGAATGATTCTTGTGGCACAAACTGATATTTAGAGGTGTTTCAGCTGAGAGCTCAACAGGATTCATACGAGTAGGAGCCAAGAGTACCACAGACTCCCGACAGAGGCTTCAATTAAAGGAAAACAGGCAAACAGTCTAAGAAGCTTAGCAGCGTAGGGGCTGACACTGCAGTCGGTGGGCTTCGCACAGATGGAGAACGCTTATAACCTCCCAGGGTCTGAATCGGATCACATAGAAGGATATGCAGGCCAGAGGCTGGGGAGACACTTAAAGCTAAATCTGAGATAAAGGAGGAACAATATAAAAGGAACATTAACAGATATATGTCTAAAACACAGTTCTCTAAAGGGGCCGGCTGACGTGTCTAAAGCCAGGTGAATGCACTGCGTGCCTAAATTAATCTGGTGACATGCTACCAAAAAAACCTCCCTTCTGTTTTTAGATGGGGCGACTGTGAGGGGATAAACTGAGCTTTAAACAAAGGGAACAAATAAAAAAAAAGAAGAAAATCTCCAGTCAGCTGAGGCTAACAGTTAATGCTATTACTTCAAATGTATGCCAAACGGTACTTTATGAAAAGCTTCAGTTCAGGAGCTCAATGTTGCAAAGTCACAAAGGCTTGGCTTTCATTGCTAGACAACTCTACTACAACTAAGGGGGGTTTAGGTACACAGTTTGCAAGACATTTTATATAAATACATAAATGTAATTTATAGAGAATTTATTAAATCCAAGTTTTTCCTTCCACTCAACTTTTCATTGCAACAAATAGATAAATGAGTTTAAATTTCTGAATGAAACTAAATAGATCAATTATCTGTTCTATGTATAATTACTAGCATATTTAAACCATCAACATGGAGATTAAAGTCCAGTAGATGGATTTATTTGATTTTATGATATTACAAAGGATCTCAGCTTGGACAAAATATTTAAAACAGAACTTCCGCTAAATCAAATAGGATTTGTTTCCTTTGAGCAGGATTTATTGACCCGTTTTTACATATTTTTCTAGCAGGGACCGCTGACTTCTGTGAGAACACGGGACGACAAGTATCACATGGCGTTTGCCTTTCCTCCTTCGTTCCTCAAGGTCATTCAGGGTTAAAGATCCGAGGCAAGGCCAGAAAAGTCATTGCAGTGAGGAACGACTTGACAGAGCCTCAAAAAGCGTTGCATCCCCCCCTGAGAGCGCCGCGGATCCAGGGAATGATCTACTTTGAGAAGTTCAAATATATCGTAGCTGTTTTAAGCAGCTAAATGTGTCACTATGACTAGAATAACACCGATAGGATTCAGAATCTGCAAGCCTTAGTTGAAGAACCGTTTACACAAGCGCTTCAGATCATCAGCGTCACATCAAACAAAACTGCTGCTTACTCAGACATAATGCCTGCTTAAGGCACACTTAAAAAAAAAGAGGATGGTCTAACTGCTTTAAGTCAAAACAGAAAGCCAACAGTAAATCCAACTAGTTAAAGGTCTCTAAAACAATAAGTAGTCAGGGTATGTGTTGTTGTGGTGCCTTTAGTTAAATAAAAAGGTCCGTTTTCCTTTTTTTATTTTTTTTAACTTGAATCGAAGTAAAGCCTCCTACAGACATTCTAAGCCATTCAGATTTAATTTTGCTTCCAAAATAACAAAAATAACATTCTTAATCTATTGAATTCATTGCAAATATAGTTTGTATATAATCTAATATATAAAAGTCGCTCATTAGCAACAGCTCTTCAGGTTTCAACTTTAGCTCTTTTTTTTTATGTGATTTTTAGGCAACTAATTAATTTTTAGGCAATTCCTTATAGTGATCGACTGATACAGGTAAATTTCCGGTTGTTTCGATATTGATCATTTTCACAAGTCTAACCACTCACTAATATGTTCTGCCCTTTTATTTGAGCTGATATTTAAAGGATCACATGTTGATTGGCCTCGATTTTCCTTAATTTTAAGAGATCAGCGTTCAGCCGATTAGATGTGAAATCAATCTTTTCCATTGCTATTATCTAACTCTGCAAAGGTCTTAAATATCACCAACAGTCAATGCTTTAAAGTCTGATTTATATTTAAGGGGCAGTTTTTGATCAATGTCTTCCAGTGAGATATTAAAGCTGTCCTGACAGCATCATTAATAAAAGAAAATAAATAAATAAAATAAAACAAACTCAGCAAATAAGACTTTAAAGATCAGGAATCGGTGATCAGCCAGAAACCTGCAATCAGTTCACTTCTATTTACATTCATTTAAATAAATAAAAATCTAAACATAAGTGACACAAAGGAGATTTCTTGATAAAGTGAAGAAGATCATGGACAACAGTGAGCATCCTCTTCAGAAGATTTTAAACAACAGCGCTTCTTCAGAAAGAGGCAGACCAATACAGGAGACCCTTGCTGCCATCGACACCTACATCAACAAGATGGAAAAAAAGCAATAAAATAAAAAATAAAAAACCCATGAGCTAGTGCAACATTTAATTTCTCTTTGGGATAAATAACGTTGTTGTTTTTTAATTGAATGGACTATCTGGAAATATTAAAAAAGCTAAATTTGCCTTTTAAGAGTGAAAGGGAAGCAGCAGTTTTTCTTTCCCATTATTTTCTTATCATTCTTGCATTTCATAACAACAAACACGCCAGTTATTGTAGTTAAATCTTAGAAAACAGCTTAGAATGTAGAAGTATGACGGGTTTCACCATAAGTGCTATTTTCTTTTGCATATGTTGCCCTGCTGTATAATTTCCTCTAAATATTTTGTAGCTGTTTGCCATCTGAAAACATACATCTTCCCTGGGTGGGTTCTAACCACCAACCTTTCCGTTAACAGACGAACTCGCTAACCGATTGCGCCACAGAGACAGTTGAGTCTGTGTCCGAACGTCCGCACTAGGACGTAAATCCCTCAATCGCTACAGATGATCACTACTTTTCGCTCCACGTTGGTTACATAACTCAACCCCCCCGCACAGTGCCAGCGCCATCTTTGGCTGTGTCCAAACGTCCGCCCTAACCCCTAAATCCCTCAATCACTATAAACTATATTGTGGACTTTATAGTGAACTGAACAGACCGTTCAGGCAGATGATCAATATTAGCTTTCAATATTTGTCCCGCGCCGCACTGCTTTGCGTTGGGTCCCGCGAGTACCGCGGGACTCCCGCGGGAGTGCAGGGCTCTACCTTAAACTCAACACTATTTCTGATTTATCTATTTAAAAAGCTTCCTGGATGGGAAAGAAAATATCTTCAAACTTGAAGTCCAGTGGATTGTTCATTCAAATCTTTCAGAATGACTTTGACCTGGATGACTGAGAATCTTCACCACCATATGGATCAGTTAGGTATTTTGGAATCCATGTTGTTTGGCGCAGCGCCGCACTGCGAAATGGCTCCAAGGCACTATCCGCTGGCAGTGTAGCCTATTTTCCCTCCTGTTTTAGGTCAAATGTTTTACTTTAAAAAAGAATCGATACCAAGAACTGTAAGATCGATATTAAACCGGTCAGCCGAAAATCACAATATATCCCACAAGCCCAGTGTTAACAGCTGAGGGTTCATATTTTCACAGCACTTTGGTCATGTATGTATGCAAAAAACAAGAGTAAATGTGTTTAAAACACAGTTTATGTGGCTATTAAGCTCTTAAAATTTCACTGTAATGCTAAAAGTTTTGGTGTAAACAGCATCAGTTCTGAAACCTCATAAAAAAATCTGATTTTTAGCTTAACTATTACTTTTTTTTAAACGCAACACCCCGCAAAAATACGCTGTCGAAAACCCAGATCAGAGTGGGCTTTAATAAAACTCTTATCAGTCTATCTCTAATATTTACAATGTTAACTTTACATACATCATGCTTTCAATTACAGCTAAATATACAAAGAAAAAAAAATCACCTAATTTAGAGATGGAAGTTTTGAAACCGTAGTTTAGAGTATTTTAAAATTATTAAGAAAAGTATGATGATTAAAGTAGGCATGATTAAAACTCCTTAAATATCAAAACCAGGACTATCTTTTTATTATTGTTTAGAAGTACATAGTTCCCCACATGTTGTGCACAAATCAAAAGAAAATGCAGAGGTACAAAATCTTCTTTCAGCCAGCTGACCTACAGTGTGCAACAGAGTGTGTGAAGGGTTAAAAACAGTCAAACGTGTGAATGCAATTAAGAGCAGTTAGATATTGGGAGCATTATCTTTTTTTTTTCCTTAAAAAAAAAAAATAAATAAATATTGTAGAATAATATTTTTTCCTATAATCATAAGTTGGTATGTATTATCAGGGTTTATACATGAATGAGTAACTCTTATTTAATGCTCTTAGAAATTATCTTAATGCCATCAACAAGTACCCATGACGTTTTATATATATATATATATACACACATATACACGACAAAAACCTTAATCATCTTCAACATGGACAGGTTGCAGCCATGTCCCGTTCCTTGTTTTCCCGCCACTTTGGTTCAAATTTGCATTTTCCCCCATTCTCTAGCCTTTTCTCCACCTCAAGCTTCTTTTCTTAAGCATTTTAATGCCAAGATTATCAAATTTTATCAATCTTAATTAAAAAAAATTATTATTTAATGACCCGCGAAAACCCTGATTATAAACAGTAGCCATCTATTTATCCTTTTTTCTTTAAATTGGCTTTGGAGGGTGGGCATTATAAGCTTCTTGCTTCTGCAAATACACCCTTTTTCAGACTGTTTTAATTTATGCTATATGGAAATATACTGTCTTTATTATATACTTGTATATCTGAAATAAAAATGACCATTATTACTGTGTTAGGTCTTGCATACCTAATAAAAATTTTTTGCAAAATTCGTGGCATATATTTAAATAATTTTATGGGGTTGATAGAACATCTGTATTTTTTAAAAATCAGGGACCAACTTTAACTCTGTAAAGAAGACTAAGATAAAGTCACTTCATCACTGGTTTAAGAATTTTTTTCTCTTCTGTTGTGTTTTTTTTTCTTTTACAATAAAGTGATACAAAAACGTATTTATGCATCATTTTTATGCATGCATTGCATTAAATAGTAGCATTAGCGTCAAAGAGCATGGTTGAATCCACAAGCCAAAGCCATGCTTTTGTTAATGGCAGCCCTCCCCCCAACTCTGAGCTCAGAGTAAAATATCAAATGGCAAAAAGAGCAGAGCAACAGGTACTCATTTCCTGCTCTGGATCTGTTCTTTTTTTGTTTATGAAAGCAATATCCTCTCCCCTGATTAAAACAGGTCCACAGAGGGACTAACAGCAACATATTAGATAGACAGGGTGCTTAAAAAGTTCCAAATGGCTTTTCTTTAAAAGGATTTCACTGAAAGAGCAGGGGCCACATTACTAACATGTAATAACAGTCTTTTGGGGGTTTTTTTCTACATTATTTTAGTACTTTAGTAGAAGTAATAAAAATAACCTTAAGCTTAAAGTCAGCCCAAAACAACATATTATATCATAGCATTACTGTGGCCGAGTCCTCTCCATGTGGATTAATAGGCAGCACAACACATGGCTACAGAAAATAAACATTCACTACTTTAATATGCACCAAAATACTGCAAAATACCTCTCAGCCAGCGCGAGATAATATTAGCTATTTATTTGTTTTATTTACAAACGCGTTTTTTGTTTTGTTTTGTTTTTTTATCGTAGAAGATAAAAAAAAAAAGTTGCTGACCGGACAACAAAAACAACTAATTAAGGTTTGGTTATTGTTTTCCTCTTCGATCAGAAAGCGTAATTTACCTTCTCAGCTGGCTCCGCTGCGGCTCTCTGGGTTTGATCGAGGCTGAAATAAAGGCTTAAATGAATCCCTGAAGGACCCGCTCAAACTCTCCGCTTCCCTCTGGTTTCGGTACTTTGTCCGTTTCTCTCTCTCTTTCTCAGCAGGGGTGATTTCCGATCACATGGTGGCTGAACACGCCTCCTAAGGTTCCCACCTCCACGGCAGTCTGTTTACTGATTGAACATATATGTTTACAGCTCTACCTGTAACATGAACTTCTGCCACACTTTATTATTAAGATATTCAATCAGCTGATGAGGTGCGTCCAATATGGCGTTTATAGCAGCAGCTGGTTGGAGTGAGTGGGAACATTTACTGTCGTGTAAAGGCGCCACCTGGTGGTCATTTTTGCTGCAGACATTGCAAAGGTAAAGTCGATTTTAACGTTATACACTCTTGGCCCCTTCACGCTATGTTCTATAAGGTTAATCTAAAAAATAAAGGTTTTTTTGTTGATATTGCTGCTACGCGCATTTAATTAAACCATCCATATTTCCTTATAAGATGGGATCCTAATAAGAGACATGTGGTCTTGTTTTTTTTGTTTTGTTCTTGACTTAAAGTTAAATAAGTCAAATAAATATTTTCTGCATTCTTCATTAAACATATATAGGTTTTCTAGATCATATATATAATAAATTAAAATGAGTTAACCTAATTTAAAGGAAAAAAGTGAAGCGCCCAACGTGGGGCTCGAACCCACGACCCTGAGATTAAGAGTCTCATGCTCTACCGACTGAGCTAGCCGGGCTTGGAACTACCAAACTCAGAATGATATTTTAACGAGGTACAATAACCGGAATAACTTCTAGCAATGATATATGGAATGAGGCTTTTTCGATTGGCTGCGAACCAAAACGGAAAGATGGAAAAGGGGAAACGTTATTGGATGGTCTCTTTAACAAGAAAATTATGTTATCGTGAAGGTGTAAGATGGTCTTTAGAAATTAGTAATCAGAAGTGTGATAGCTTTGAACATGAACCACAAAACAGGCTTACATTGGAAGGCCAAAGTCCACAGTAACGTTTTAGTTGGATTTGGCAGTATCTACCTCGCTATCGATGCGAGTAAGGATAACTTCTGTCAATTTAAGCCTCCGGTGATCAATTTAAGCAATTTCCGGATGACTGAGAACTTACAATGACACTCTGACCACAAATGCCCCTATGGTTTTTGAAAATTTCGTCTGTGCATGTTCTCGCTTTCCCCGTTTGTTACAGCTGTCTTCAGTAGGGCTATGCTACGAACGTTTGCAATACAGTACACAAACAATATGGTTGCAAAGCCGAAGAGCTAGCAATAAAATTAGTGAATTGAGGAATGTACTTAACAGGCTAATGAAACAGCCAATCTCGCTCCGAATAATAATGGACCATCCAATCTACGTTATACTGCACAATGGACGTCAGCCAATCAGTGCGAAGCATGGCGCTCATCCAAATTCTTTTGGCATTCGAAAGGTTGGAATTTCGAGGCCAGCCCACCCGGGATACTCAGTTTTTAATAATCTTTTTCTACTACTATGTAATAGCTCTTCGTAAAAATTGTTGAGGTTCAAAAGGACCAAAATGAAATAAACGAATTTATTTTAAAACTGCTATATACACAATGTACTTTGTAGATAGATAGATAGATAGATAGATAGATAGATAGATAGATAGATAGATAGATAGATAGATAGATAGATAGATAGATAGATAGATAGATAGATAGATAGATAGATAGATAGATAGATAGATAGATAGATAGATAGATAGATAGATAGATAGATAGATAGATTCCTTTTTTGCATGATTAGTCTTGAACAGATGGCATATTTGCTTAAAAACCCTCCCAAACTGTGCTCATATTGTAATGAGACATAAAAAACTCCTCTTGATGCCAGCTAAAAGCCTTTTCCATCCTTTCTAAAAGGTGCTTCAATGAAGGTAATAAATGTTATAGTGCATTGATGCTTTGTATGATTTAGAGTTTGTTCACAGTTGAAGGCCATTGGAGGTATTTTTTAGACAGTTCCATTCATCCAGCCTTCCTCCTCCTCCTCCTCGGCAGCAGCAGCAGCAGGAAGCTGAGGCCTTCACATTAACACCCCCGGAGTCAGCACTAATGAGGGCCTCAGCAGCTGCACTGGGCTCCTACTTCCACTACTTTAACATGCTTCATTACGGTTCATCACAAACTATAGAGCCATGACATCACTGTGACCTGTGCTCTCAGGTGGGATGGCCTTCCCTCTCTATAAGAAGCCAGTGTCATTGGTACGTTCAAAGTCACTCATATCACCTTTCTTCCCCATACTGATGCTCAGTTTGAACTGCAGGAGATTGTCTTGACCATGTCTACATGCCTAAATGCACTGAGTTGCCGCCATGTGATTGGCTGCTGTGTTAACGAGCAGTTGGACAGGTGTACCTAATAAATTGGCCGGTGAGTGTATAATAGCTCTTTGTAAAAATTGTTGAGGTTCAAAAGGACCAAATTTAAATAAACAAATTTATTTTTAAACTGCTATATACACAATGTACTTTGTAGATAGATAGATAGATAGATAGATAGATAGATAGATAGATAGATAGATAGATAGATAGATAGATAGATAGATAGATAGATAGATAGATAGATAGATAGATAGATAGATAGATAGATAGATAGATAGATAGATAGATAGATAGATAGATAGATAGATAGATAGATAGATAGATAGATAGCAGAATCAACTTTTCGGCACAGCGTTCAACATGACAGCATGAGACTCAGTCGGTTTTCGTGTTGTTCCTCCTTTGTTTGAAGGACACACCCTTTATTGTACACAAGTGTGTTAAATTAGACAGGTCACGTGATGTGACACATAATTATCCAATAATGATCCAAACAACAACAAATGAGAGCACAAAAACATCCATAATGTCAACATAGATAGATAGATAGATAGATAGATAGATAGATAGATAGATAGATAGATAGATAGATAGATAGATAGATAGATAGATAGATAGATAGATAGATAGATAGATAGATAGATAGATAGATAGATAGATAGATAGAATGAGTTGATGCCAGCATTAAGTGCTGTTAAACGTCCATTCCAAAGCGACATTTTTATACTTCTATATAATCTGTACTGTCAAAAGGAATTGTTTTGACAATTACAGTACATTTGTTGCAATCCAGAGTTCGCCAGGGGGATGCCTGACCACACTTAAACACGCATTACCCGTCTTTTCATTCGATTTCAGACCTCTCGCGAGACTTGCTATCAGTCTCTGTGGCGCAATCGGTTAGCGCGTTCGGCTGTTAACCGAAAGGTTGGTGGTTCGAGCCCACCCAGGGACGGACAAAGTTTTCTTTGTGATTGACCATGATACGAAATTATACACATGGGACAAAACATGCAAAGATAAACAGCCAATTTGGTAAAACCTACCCAAATACTACATTATAGAAAACTCCCTTTATTCGGGAAATTGTGGTGTTACAGCAGCAGAAGTTTGCCATAAGGTTGTTTTGTTTTAAGTTGTTTTCCATCTGATTGTGCCACAAAGACCCTGAAGCTCTTTGTGATTGAACATGGTAGGATCAGCAAATGCAAAAAGCTACACTGAACTTCCAGAAAATTATACACATAGGACAAAAGATGCAAAGATAAATAGCCCATGAAGTAAAATTCTACATTATAGAATAGAAAATCCTTTTATTGTCCCACAATCGCGAAATTGTGGTATTACAGCAGAAGCATTCCACAAAGTTGTTTTCCAACTGATTGCGCCACAAAGACCCTGAAGCTCCTACATCAAAACCAGTCAAATTAGTGTACAACTTACCTATCACAGTATTACATATATGTTTATCTGGAGCTATTTATTTCAACTCTAACAAAAATAGCTGATAGTATCATCTCAATAAGTCCTCCTAATTGTCAGTCACTCTGGTGATAAGTTTACGTAGGCCATCCAAGTGCTCGTTCCGTTACCTATCTTTTTAAATCATATTAAAAGCACAATGTTGCTAGCATAGCTGCAATGCTGATTTTGAGATGATAAAAATCAGGTTGCAGAACGTTATTTCTCTGACTATGATGTTAGTTAGGCCTGACATCTCAGGCTCATAAAGACATATTTGCGGTCAACTATGACAGAAAAGAGACTATCAAGTTTGGTTTCCAATCAAAACGCACAAAGGCATTGGATCTAAATAAATTTGTGAAGCGTTTTGCTGAGCAACATGGAAATCACTGCATTCAGCTGTTATAGTCATGTTAACTTTATGTTATGCTCTCTGGTGAGCCTTTACAGAGCTGTTACATTTTGTTTTGGCACCTGAGAAAATCTGATATTTCATTTAATAAAACCAAAAGTGTTAAAAGTAAAGTTAAAAATGTGATACTGGTGTAAATCCTGCTTAATATGAAGCAGTGTTGTTGTTTCTTTTTTTTTGTATATATAGTATGAAACTATCCAGAAACGACCTGTATGAACCTACTCACAAAATGTTTTGTACTTTTTCAGACTGGAAGCAAAATGTATTTTTATGTTGCTTCTTTTCAGATTTGTGAGCAACAAATGGGGTAAATGTGTGTTCAGAGTAAACAATACATGGATGTCCAGTACCATGTTTGGGTGCCTTGACCCATTTATTTCTACTGTGTAGTAATGCTCACTTTAGTTCAGCTCAGTCCATAGATCTCTGATTGGTAAGTTTTTCTTTCTATAGTTTCTTCTTGTGCAAATGTTGCAAAGCTGCCTCTCTGACAGTCAATCTCACACCTGCAACTCAGCACCTGTGTCTCACCTTAATACCTTTCCTGTGATAATGCCCCTCTAGAAGTAGTGTTATCATTCTTCAATCTCCCATTAAGTGAGATCACATTGTACGATGTATTTCTAATATGAACTCTTTCACATGAAACACTTACTGTACATACTATTCTCACCAAACTGTGATAACTGTGATTAAATTCAGTGTAAACAAATGCCATATGTTGCCACCCCTCAAAAATTCCTGCCCCCCTTTCACCACCTCATAAATATTTTTCTAGATCCGCCCTTGCTAGGGCCTAATCAACTCGGAAAGTGAACCGCATTCAAGCCTGCCTTCACTTCAGAATTGAC